TTGTCACTTATTTTACATATGAGAAAACAGGGGTCCAGAGTGGTTGTGTAACTTGACTATGGTCATACAGCTTGAGTCAGGATATGAGCTCAAATCTACCTGCCCTGATTCAGAGTCTGTGCATTTAAGCTCCAAGTATAAAAGACACATGTCAGGGGGAGGAGTTGAGGGGTCCAGTCTCAGAGGAAGTATGAGTCATTAGGTTGAGGCATAGGTAAGGCAAGGTGGTAGCTGGAAAGGCGTATACGTCTTCTGGGGGAGCAGAGCAAAGATGGTGAGGGGTAATATAGAGGGATTTGAAGTGAAGGGGAGCCAAGTTGAAAGGTCGTATCAGATAGCTTTCCATTTCAGAAAATTAGGTGAGGCATTTACAGAAACTGCATGAGGGTTGGGGGCTAGCCACCAAATGATATAATCATACTGAGCAATGAGCTGAGATGACTCAAAGGAGTGCCAAGCATCACTGGTTCAATAGGGAATGAATTTATAGTAGAATTATTCCAGTTTTACTTTTGAAGAGACAGGCACTATTCTTGGTTGTAGCCCTTTACTTAAACAGGACAGGTGTTTTGTATAATCAGTGAAAGACCTTCTAAGTCAGCATCTCTTTGTCCTTGCTTTTAGGTTTGGACACAAGCTGAATGTGTCAGATTTATATAAATTAACAGACACAGTCGCCATCCGTGAACATGGGAATGGAAGACTGGTGTGTCTCTTACCCAGCAGTCAAGCTCGACAGAGTCCCTTGGGGTCTTCCCAGTCCCATGACGGCTCCTCAACAAATGGCAGTCCAATTATATTTGAAGAGTTAGAATATCATGAGCCTGTCTGCAGACAGCATTGTTCCAATAAGGATTTCAGGTATAACATCCATTTCCCTTCAGAAATAATCCTTTTGTATAAGGTCATGGAATATCTCTTACAATTACCTTGCTACTGTTTTGTTTTCTGCAGTGAACACGAATTTGATCCAGACTGTTACCAGATTCCTTTTGTGATTCTCTCTTTGAAGATGTTTGGGCCCCAGGTTCATAGTCTTCTGCAGACACACGAGGGCACTGTGCCTTTATTAAGGTGAACAAACATGTCAAAACCATTGTGACAGGATACCTTAGTTCTCTTTATAGAAAATCTCTCTCTCTGTCCACACCTCTCCCCAAGAAAGTGTCCTTAGCCTCGTAGTCACTTAAAATATATCTGAAATGGGTCCATTCACTCAGTATTTCAACAAGAAAATGTTTGTGCTGAATTTTGGAAACATGAGTAGGGCAGTTTCCTTTCTACAGAGAAGAGATGATTATAAGTGCTATAATAGAAGTATGCACA